CTCACCATATCTGATTTTGCCATAGAAAATTAAACAAAAACCCATATTGGGAAACAATGAGGGTGGCAAAATAAGCCTCCATTGATATCTAGGAAAGAATAATTATGAGAAGAAAGGGAAGAGTGATCAAAGGTAAATGGCCTTGATGTCGGATGCCTTTGAAAAATGAGTCCACAGATAATCAAATCTTCAAAAGGAGATAGGTCACTGTGGCTTGCAGATTTGCAAAGGAGGTTAACCTGAATCAGGGAAGATCTGTTCACCCTCATGCCAGCCTGGAAACATCTCCTTAAAAATGACTTCACCAAGTTCATTTGCCCTTTTTTCCAAGAAGTACGTGGTTGCCTTTCCAACCTCTTTTGAAAAAAAATGCAACGTGGCTTGTCTGTTCTATGGTTCACGTGGCTGATTAACCCAGGCTCCTAGCCCTTTATTCATCAGAAATCAGACAAGAGCTTTAATTCAAAGTGTCACAACATTGAGCAAATGCTTTGACAGAACGGTAACAAAGCTGCGAGGTTAATGAGGAATAGGTTAATTTCCTACGGCAGCAAAACAGCCAAATGTTGCATTCCCCCCTCCCCCAAAGTGATAAATCCTAAATTAAATAAAGTGTGGATGATAAACTCAAATGAAGAAGTGAAATTAACAGTCAAGAAAAACGAACGATAGAAGAGGCAACACAAACAGAAACTTAAGATGTGACAATATGCAGCAGACAACCAGTTTAAATAATCAAAAATGAAAAATATGGAAACCCCCTGGCTTGGATGCTGGTTTTCCTCCCATTTTTCTCGGCAGTCCTCTGTAATCTCAAAAACCTATTTTCTTGAAAATAAAATCTTTGAATTGAGCTAGATTCCTCGTAGCTTAACCAAGACAATAGCAGTACAGAAATGGTTTGTCATTCTTTTCTGGCTGAGATTTTTTTGTGCGTGTAAAAAAATTTCTTCTCTGTCAGCCCTGACCTTTCTTGTAAGTTCTCATCCAAGTTCCAAACAAGGGTGAAGATCAAGGATTCCTCTTGGAATTGAACAACTGCTAAAGATCTGGTTGCCTTTTCTCTTTAGGATTGTAAACCACAAGACACCAAAACTAAATTTAAGGAGCCCTTTCCTATTTCGTGGGCCATTACACAGCAATCTATAAGATTCTCCCTTTAAAAATTAGGCCTGTCTTTATCTCAGTGACATTTTAATTTCATTGTTCAGTTATATTCCAAACAACGGCACTAGATGGTTGAGGCGCACAGCTGACGACCATTTGCCCAGTTGGAAGTTACAGAAGTGATTAGCAGATTCTGATGGAAAATGGACTGTTTAATACTTCGAAGAAGCAGAAGAGCCCTCCCTCCCTCCTTTTCTTCCTTTCTCTCCCTCCCTCCTTGATTTCCTTCTTTGATTTCCTTCCTTCCTTCCTCTTCCTCCCTCCTTCTTTGATTTCCTTCTTTGATTTCCTTCCTTCCTTCCTCTCCCCCTCCTTGATTTCCTTCCTTGATTTCCTTCTTTCATTTCTTTCCTCCCTCCCTCTTCCTTCCTTGATTTCCATCCATCCATCCATCCATCCATCCATCCATCCATCCATCCACCCATCCATTATTCCCTTCTATTGACTCTGTGCCCCAACAGGCAATTGGGATTAAAATCATATGCATCAACGTGAAAACAACACCTTCATCATCTTTCCATAAAATGGCCAAAAACAACCCATTGGCCTGAGGGGCTGTCACAACAGTCCAGCTCCCAAGCAGCTTGGTGAAATAACCACGTTTTCATCCGTTTCCTAAAAAAACAAACAAACATGCGTATGGACTTTCTTCCCTCCCACCCCAATCTGTCAGCCTCCGTCTGGTTAATTCTGTCCCACAATTTTCTTCTGTCTCCTTCTGCCTTAATCACCGTCCAACTTGTTTCATCATT